AAAACTCTCACATCAGAACCAAAAATCAATAAACATTAATGGTGTTCACAACACTAAAACTTGAATTGTCAGAACAAAATCACTTACAACTTTTTAACTCTCAGCTACTATCATATCCCATAATACTGATATAATAACAGTCATTTGCTATGTAATTATAGAAAATATGTTAAGATGAGTTGATTTCACAAAAGATGATGAATACTGTATTTTACTGTGATAAATTTTGTGAAATCTTATCAATAATGAAGAGTTTTCCAATTGGCTGTCTAACCGCCTGTTATATCCTGCTGCAGAAAGTGATGCAGTGAGCGGGCAGTAGCTGTGAGTGGCCAGCAGAGGGAGGCACCTTTCCACAATGTTCAAAATACTGAACAAAACAACTAAAGCAGGGTCTGGAAGTAAAAACACTGTTAAGGCTAAATCTAATCAAAGCCACGGAGTGTGTTTAGATTGATTTTCCCAGTAAGAGGTGTGTGTGTGTGTGTGTGTGTGTGTGTGTGTGTGTGTGTGAGTGTGTGTGTGTGAGAGAGAGAGCGAGAGATCGAGAGAAAGAGAGAGAGCGAGAGAGAAAGAGAGACTCATGGGAGAGTCATGACAAAAAAGGTAGGTGGTCACTGTTTTGCCACTGGCATTAAAAGATGCTATCTAAAATATTAATTTAAATGTCAGTATCATACAAGAGTTCTTTAGCACAGACAGTGATACTTCCAGAGCACATATCCGCATAATTTCTTTTGGTTTTGTACTTATATAAATATGGACAGATTATATGTATTCATAAGCATAAACAAAGTTAAGTTAAAACAAAAATATTTAAAAAAAATTCAAACACCAGAAATATATCACATCAGTACTTTGTTGCAAAGCTATTATTGGCAATTACAGCTTTGAAATGACTGCAGTTAGAACTTCATAAACCTGTTCAATTTTGTACCATTGCACTGGTGCGAGTGGATCAGACACAGCAGTGCTGCTGGAGTTTTTAAACACACCACTGTTGCTGCTGGACTGAGAACCAAAAACATCCAGCCAACAGCATCCCATGGGTAGCATCCTGTGACACTGATGAAGGACAAGAGCATGACCAACACAAACTGTGCAGCAGCAGATGAGCTGTCGTCTCTTACTTTACATCTACAAGGTGGAACAACAAGGTAGGAGAGTCTAATATCGTGGACAGTGATTGGACACAGGGTTTAAAAACTCCAGCAGCACTGGTGTGTCTGTTCTATTCACCCTAGCAAGGAAAATGCTGTTTGATCAAGATTTACGGCAGGAGCAGTGCAAAAATGATCCCCGCTTTTCTAACAGGTGGTGCAACTCTCTGCACACCATTTCACATGTGTCTCCAATGTGGACTGAATAAAGAATGAAGGGTTTCAGGCATGATGGGTCAGTCCTTAGTGATTTGTGACCCGAGTGTCCATTGATCAGTGTCACACAGAATGTAGATGGACACATGAATCCACCAGTTCCACACAGGCAGATGACGTGTATCTAAGCCCCTCTTCATAGCCTCATAACATTGAATGTGAGTCATGTATGATCTTGTGATAAGATGGAATGGAAAGGGTGACTGTATTTCTGTGCTGTATTATTGTAAAGATACAGAAACACATACAGAAACATCGAATTTGATGCACAGACAAGTTCATGGACTCCAAAGGGTTAAATCTTGATTTCACCTCTCACTTTGGAGGTTTAGTGTTTTTTGCAGGCCAAAAAGAGAAAAACAGAGCCGTACACACTTTAGTTCTTATGCTCATAGACTTATAAACAGTCAATACGATTTACCCTTTTTAAATACGTGTACTTTATTGCAATGCATCAGAAATAATGTGACCCAATCTAACAAAAAACACTGCATGTATTTTTATCTTCTTTCAATTTCCTCTTAGATTAGATAAAAAAAAGTCTAGTTTGCTTTTAACCCCACAGATTAAAGATAACACTTCATGCCATATCAGAAAGCTTCTGATCAAAGAGATATTAGCAGAAGGAGCGCAACTGCAAGATGTCATGCATGTTATGATTATGATTATCCCGCTTAATTCTTTTGATTTGTAAATATAGAAAAGGTCAATTAGCAAGTCTCACATTTTCAGTGTTTTATGCCTGTATGTTTCCTATATACACTCACTGAGCACTTTAATAAGTCCCCCTCTTTGTATCTACAATCGTTGTCCATTTTATCAGCTCCTCTGACCATAAAGGAGCACTTTGCAGTTGTACAGCTACAGACTGTAGTCCATCTTTGTTACCCTGTTCTTTAATGGTCAGGACACCCAGGTGGTTAGTGTGTGTTGCGCTGGTGAGAGTATATCAGACACAGCAGTGCTGCTGGAGTTTTTAAACTGACTGTCCACTCTATTAGACACACCTACCTTGTTGGTCCACCTTGTAGATATAAAGTCAGAGACGACAGCTCATCTGCTGCTGCACAGTTTGTGTTGGTCATCCTCTAGTCCTTCATCAGTGGTCAGAAGATGCTGCCCACAGGACAGTTTTTGGTTCTCAGTCCAGCTTTAAACACTGTGGTGTTTAAAAACTCCAGCAACACTGCTGCGTCTGATCTACTCACACCAGCACAACATTACGAAATTGAACTAGTTTATGAAGTAGTTCTTACTGCAGTCATGTCAAAACTGTAATTGCCAACAACGGCTTTGCAACAAAGCATTGATGTTATATATTTCTGGTGTCTAATATTTTAAAATATTTTTTTTTAACTTATCTTTGTTTATACTTTGAACTTTTTGATACAAACAATTTGTTCATATTCAAATCCGTACAAAACCAAAAGATAACATGTGGATATGTGCACTGAAAAATAATAAAAACATAATAAAACAAAAGTGTCTTAGAACTGAAACAGCTCAATTTACAACACTGAAAATAACATGACAGTAACTGAGGAAAAGAAAAAATCAACACTAGGCATTTAATGTCACTAAACCAAATAAGCATGAAAAATAAAGAAAATAAAAACAGTTAAAGAAAAAGCAGACAGTCGTCAATATAATGATTCTTTGGTAAAGACAATAATTTTGTTTAGAACCTTTTTGAAAAGTGTTCTATGTAGCACCAAAAAGGATTCTTCTATTGTTTTTGGCGCTATATAGAACCATATGCAACACATTCTCCACCAATCTGAAGAAACATTTCACCAGGCAAAGAACCATTTCAGCATGCATGCTCTGAGTGTTCTTCAGAATCAGAATCAAAATCACTTTATTTCAGCAATATGTTACATATGCAAGGAATTTGTCTTGGTGAGTGCACACATGCATGACATGTAACATATTGAACAGACCAGACAAGCACACAGGCTGGTAATAAGTATTAAACCAAGGGAAAAATCAAATAAAATGCAATAAATAGACTACAGAATTAAGAATAATAATAAAAAAAACAGCCAATGTGAAAGGAGCTCAGGAGATGTACAACTTTTTTGTGAGATTTGTGGATATCTGTACAAATAAGAATGTCTGTATTTATGCAGGTCCAGTAGATATACTATAAAGCATAGTATAAAAACTACTACATACAGAATATTACAGAATGACATGAAAACCTGCAAAATCTGCAAATATCTGTACAGCTGTGTAAATAAGGATTCTGTTACAGAGGAGTTACTGTAATACTGTAAGAAGGTCTATCTGGTTTGGTTTGGTTTAATTTTAAAGTGTGAGGTGTCCACTGTGGTTAATGAGCTACAGTTCTTGGGAAGAGCTGTTAGCATGTCTGGCTGTGCTGGTTTTGATGATCCTGAATCTTTTACCAGATGGGCGTGTCTGGAAGAGGTAATGTCCAGGATTAGAGCGGTTAGCTGTAGTTTTTGCTGTTGCACTTTATCACTCTGCTGTTTTAGATGTCCTAAGCATTGACAGGCTACATCGTGTGATCCTCTCCACTGTTCTGATTATGCATTGGAGTTTGGCTTGTTCTTGTGAGGTAGAGGAACCAAACCAGATGAAGGAACCAAACCAACCAAACCAAACCTGGAGTTTGGCTTGTACTTGTGAGGTGAAGGAACCAAACCAGATGAAGGAACCAAACCAACCAAACCAAACGTGGAGTTTGGCTTGTTCTTGTGAGGTGAAGGAACCAAACCAGATGATGTAAGGATGGACTTGATGATCGCTGTGTAGAGCTGGATCATCAGACTCTGTGGCAGGTTGAATTTCTTCAGCTGTCTCAGGAAGAACTCAGGATTCTCTGCTGTGCTTTCTTGGTGATGGACACCATTTTCCTCTCCCACTTCAGATTCCTGCATATGGTGGAGCCCATAACTTGAGTGACAGTGGAAACCACAGAGTCGCTGATGGTGTGTGGGGGTAGGGAGGGGGTGTTGCTCCTGACGTCCACCACCATCTCTATCGTCTTTTCCATGTTCAGCAACAGGTGGTTGCTGCTGCAGCAGGAGACCAGCTGCTTGACTTCCTTTCTGTGGGCAGGGGCGAGAGCATGAAACCTTGTAGTACTCCAGTACTCGGGGGACTGACATGTGGTTTTCAAGCCACACCTGCTGTTTCCTGTTTGTCAGGAAATCTATGATTCACCAGCAGGTGGGATCTGGCATAGACAGATGGGACAATTTGACCTGCAGCAGCTCTGGCACTATGATGTTGAACGCCGAGCAGAGGTCCACAAACTCTAGTGTAGGTTCCATGAGTGTCGAGATGCAGAATGCAGAATGAAGTGCAGGGCCAATTTTACCATGTTGTGGACAGACCTATTAGCTCTGATCCAGCAGAGGGTTGGTAATGGTCTTCAGATGGGGTAGGACCAGGCATTCGAAGATCTTTGTAACTACAGAGCTCATCGCTACTGGCCTATAGTCATTTACTCCATTGATGTTCTTTTTGTTGGGGACTGGAATGGTGGTGGATGATTTAAGGCATGTGGAAACAGAACAGAGTTCCAGTGATTTATTGAAATTGTTGGTAAAAACTGGCACAGCAGTGCTTTAGGGTGAATGGAGTGACTAGATCAGGTCCTGGGTCTTTTCTCACATTCTGTCTGCTTTAATCCTTTTCTCCAGCTTGTGTTTGGCCTCCTTATAGAGAATTCTGTCCCCACTCCTGACTGCTGCCACTTTTTCCCTCTGAAGCTGTCTGAGTTCAGCGGAAAACCAGTGTTACTGTATTCCACCGGTCATAGTGGAAATGCAGCTGTCCTCACAGAAACTGATGTATGACGTCACAGTGTCTGTACATTCATCTAGGCTCTAGAGCGAAAGAGAGTAATATAGGGTAAGATAGAGCACATCAGGGCAAGGTAAGAAATAGTGGGGTGGGCTGAGAAAGGTAGGGTTAGGTGACAGTTTAGAGTAGGGTTAAGACACAGTAGTGTAGGGTATGATTGGGTAAGGCAAGAAAGGTCACGGTAGGGTAAGATAAGGTAAGGTATGTAGAGTAGGGCAAGGTGCTGTAGGTTAGAGTACAACAATGTAAGATAAGATCAGACAAAGTAGGTAAGAGAAGGCATGGTAGGGTAAGATATGGTAGGATAGGGTAAGATAAGAAATAGTAGGGTGGGGTAAGGCAATGTAGGGTCAAATGACAGCATAGGGTAAGAAAGGATAGGGTGAGATAAGGTAAGAAAAGGATATGGCAAGATATTTTAGAGTGGGGTTAAGACACAGTAGTGTAGGGTATGATGGGATAGTAAAGTAGGGTAAGGTATTGTAAGATAGAATAGGACAGTGTATGGTAAGTTAGGACAAAGTAGGTTCAGGGTAGACATGGAAGAATAGGGTAAAATAAGGCAGGGTACAGAAAGACACGGCAGGACAGGGTAAGCAATGGTATGGTAAGACAGAGTAGTATAGTGTAAGTTAAGGTAGTATAGAGTAGGGTAAGGCACAATAGACTAAGGTAAGGTAGGAAATAAAAACAAATGTAAGCATTTTGGTTGAAAGCATAAACACAATTTAATATAAAAAATATGGTATGTGTTTATACTGGAAAACGGAGAATGGAAATTTATTTTCTGGACAAATAATCTACATAAATGGGACAGAACAAAATTACAGCCTTTGTGAGAAGTGCACAAATAGGTCAGTTCACATACATGCAATTTCACATTGTTTTAATATGTCAGTCAGTCCAAACAAACCTTGGCGAGTGAGCCCCCTCCGACCTCATTATAGATGATGAGGGTTTGGGTTCCTTCGTCTTGGAGGTATTGTGTAAATTGCTTCGCTTTGTGTTCCCAATAGAAACAACAGCAGAGCAGCACTGAAAAGACATTGACAAGTGTTACATTTCAGAAAATGATGTGTTTTATCTGCAGCACTGGCCTGGAATGTGGCTGTATTACTCTTTGTTTTCTTTTATATTTGTCAGGCTGACAAAACACCAACTGCAAATATACACTATATTGACAGAAGTATCAGGACACACCCCTTACTTATTAAGTTCAGGTGTTTCAGCCACACCCATTGCTGACAGGTGGATAAAGTTAAGCTCACAGCCTTGCAGTCTTGATAGACAAACACTGACAGTAGAATGGATCATACTGAAGAGCTCATTGACTTTAAACTTGGCACTGTCATAGGATGCCACCTCTGCCACAAGTCAGTTTGTGAAAGTTGCCTGCTAGATCTGCCCCTGTCAACTCTAAGTGCTAGTATTGTGAAATGGAAGTATCTAGGAGTGACAACAGCTCAGCCATGAAGCGGTAAACCACGCAAACTCACAGAGTGGGGCCGCCGAGTACTGAAGCACACAGTGCCTATCCTCTGTTGAATCACTCACTAAAGAGTTCCAAATTGGAATTCTGGAAGCAACATCATCAAAAGACCTATGGATCAGGAGCTTCACGAAAAGGGTTTCCATGGCTGAGCAGCTGAACACAAGCCTAAGATCAAAATGCACAATGCCAAGCGTCAGATGGAATGGAATTTTGTGGAGTGACAAATCATGCTTCTCTATCTGACAGTCTGATGGAGGAGTCTGAGTTTGGCGAATGCCAGGAGAACGTTACCTGCCTGACTGCGTTGTGCCAACTGTAAAGTTTAGTGGAGGAGGGATAATGCTATGGGGTTGTTTTCATCAAACACTTTTGAGTGGAAGCTGTGGGGACCAACTCTGTATTAATGCCTATGAATTTAGAATGGGATTCATAAAAGCTCCTGTAGGTGCAATGTGTAGATGTCCAAATACTTTTGTCCATATAGTTTAAGTAAAGTTAGGAGCTACAATTTTAACGAGAGTCATTTTAAAGAAAGTGATTTGATTTTATCCCAGCAGATACAAAGAAGAGGCCTACGTTCATGTGAAATATTACAACTAGTATAAATGAGAAAGCTATAGAATCTGTCTTGACTTTTTCCTAGAGACCCTTACAAGCCAATAACACCATCGATCCCAGTAGGATTCCTAAAGATGCTCCATGCAGGTTGGAAAAATGAGGCAGACACACATCTTTATCCCCACAGTCACACACCACGACATTCAGAGTGTCTAGTCCTACTTTCCCCTGCTGGTCCTCGATCCGCAGTGGAACCAAGTAGTTCCCGTATGGCAATCTCTTAAGACTTATCAATGAAGATTCAGACCCTGCAGCAGAAGCACAGCAGACAAACCACATTAAACTTTTATGGTCTTTCTGTATGTGCATACCTTTCTGTATTGATATTGGCATTTTTACACATAACAGCAAGCACCATGACAGTAGTTACCAACCATGCTATTGGAGATCTACTGCCCTGCAGAGTTTAGTTCCAACCTACGTCTAACATGCTGACTCCCCCTGCCCTCACCGACCTTGCCTAACCAAAAGAATCTGATCCAGCTATTCAAGGACCTTTGAAGAAGTTAAGTAGCCAGAGAAGGTGTGGTACTCAATAGAAAGGTAGATCATAAGGCCCAGAGCTGGTGACCGCTGTATTACTGCTATATTTCCAGATCTACAGTGATTTAATCTCAGCTGATGAGATATGTCACTTCTGTCAAATTTTAGAAATGGATAAATCCAGGCACACAAACTATCTTCCTCTTGTAACTGATAAAGGCCAGACTCGATAACTGTTTTTGCTTTAGAGTGAATGGATATGGGAGCTCTGCTTTGGGCAAACAATAATGTAAGGCCTTTTTTTCATCTGAATTTCTGAAAGGTTTTTCAGTTTCTTAGGTTCTTAGGAGTCTCTCTTAAATTGTTGGGCAAGAAGGAATTTGAACTGCACTTCTTCCAGTAAAATCCATTCAGTGGCTCCATTTGATCATACTGATCCTTGTTAGAGGAGGATCATTCCCCTCTCTACAACTCTAAGCACAGCCATTAAAGCCCCTATCAACCTGGTTTCAAATGTTTAAGTTCTTGTTTTGATAGTAAACAAATATGTTCAAAAGCATATGACAATGTTATGTGCAATACATTTATATAGCTGAATACAATTTAATAGTGGATGAATGCTCCAAAAATTCCAAGCTGCACCTGCTTATAACTGTATATCCTGCTGTAACTAAAGTAATTTTACAGGGAAACAATGTGATGCCTTGATGTTGAAGGGGTAGCTAATGTCGCACTAAACTAACTACTATAATTTCATTCTTACGGTTAAGATGGACCGCTGTTACAAATTAAGTCATTCTTTTAAAGCAAGGTCCTGCTACAGGTGGCTAACACAAGTAGGAAGCAGTGTCTACCTAAACTACAAACACCACTGTAATAAAATTTCACAACAAGCACTGTTAACACATTTAGAAAAGCTTAAATAAGCCACTTGCTGAGAGTCTGAGAGTTTGCCTGGGACTCAGAGCAGTGGGAGATCAGTCAATGTATGAGGAGGAACACAAGTAGCTGACATATACACACTGCTAACTTGGCAGATCACCTGTGCCAAATTTAGTCTGACCCAACTGTAGAAAAAGTCATTAAAAAAAAAATTCTCCCAAGAACAGACAAACATTCTCTGCCAGTTCAGAGTAAAAACACCACAAATAAAAATAGATAGTTTATAGTCAGATGAGTAGACAGGGGTTTTAATATTCTTCAATGCATCATGACTACTTTAAAACCCTTAATCTTAACTATGATCAGAAAAGAGAAGATGTTAACAACAAAGCTCTCATCTTGTGATGAGTAATGATCTCTAATGAAGGCATTTATGCCAACTGCCAAATTAGGACGGGGTTGTTGGGGAAAAAACAGTGACGGTTTGAAAAACTACTAAAACATTGTTCACCTGTGCTTGGGTTTAACTTCCACATGCTCAACAGCTCCTTATCTTCACTTGCGATAGAAAAGGAAAAGGGTCCATCATCAGGCTTCACCATCACCCGGTCAGTCTTATTCCCACACATGACCGAGATGTTGGAGGTCAAGTAGGGTGCATTATCATTTAGATCTCCTAGTTGGATCACCAAAGTTCCTGTGCCTGTGGCAGGAGGCTCCCCTACAGAACGAAGATGGAGAAAGTAATTGGCCGAAGTTTTATATGCAAAGACTGAACGCCCAAGTATAAGTGATATTTTTAAATGATGCATTTTCCTAGTTTGACTCTTCGACCCGTTCATAGCAGTGCAAGCAGCAGCCTAGCTATAGCACGCTATGTTGCTCTGATAGAATCTGTGAATGTAGCTTCCTGTTCAAATACAGCTTTTAAATGTCTTTTAGAGTGCAGCCTTTGGCACCTTCAGCAGAATACACTGGACAGACACTCGCAGGAGAACTATGGATAAATCAACAAGCAGCAAAGTAACAATAGCAGCGGCTTGGTGGAGCTCCCCTCGAGATCCTCCACTGTAACAGGAACCCACAAGCTGTATGAACGAGAGTGAGCGATGCAATCATAGTGGAGCTGAACCACTGACTGTATATGTGACATATATGATATACACTCTCTGACTGTATATATGATTTACAGTATGATATGTACACTCATTGACTGTATATATGATATATATGATATACACACTTATTAACTGTATGTATGATATATTTGATATATACAGTCAATGGTCGGAACATGCAGACACTGTTGTTCACACTGGATGCCAGTCATGAAAATTGGATCATAAAATTTGATAATTGTGGAAATCAGACATTTTCATGTTCAGGTTCTGTGATCACATGATCAAAATATGGTTATTGAATTATTAAAAGTAACATTCTGACAATGCTTATTTTGTCCACTCATGTAGTTATAACAAAATGCACTGCTCTTAAAATAGAAACAAAATTTACAGATTACAGTTGCAATTAATCACAATTAATTTAACAAAATAAAGCATTTCATCAAGATTCATTCTTTTAATCGCTTGGCAGCCCAAGTTTATCCAGTATTTTTATTTTTATCCAAATCTTTATCCAAATTATTAGTTTGCAGACAAATGTGAAGTCATGATAATTACATGTTTACAATGTATTTGGATATGTACCAAACACTGCACCCATGAATGGAGACGTTAATTTGAGAATTAAATTAACTTACAAAAACATCATTCGTAACTAAGGACTCTTGATCTCTTGATTTTGTAAAAATATTTTTTTTAACAATCATTTCAATGGTTACTAGCCTAGCAAAACTCATTCAGAATCTTATCTGCTTTTGATATTTTGTTTAGTTTGGGATCAGCCAAATTAGCAGATGGGTCTTCAGTGCAGGAACTACAGAAAGGATTCTTTATGACATATTTGCACCACATAACACACACAAAATAACTACAACAGAATGAATGATGTCTGAAATGTGTTTGTTGTACCATTGTCTATTGCTCGGATCAGAACCGTGTAGGTGCTGTTGACTACGTATGGAGACTCGCAGTCCATCTTCATCACTGTGGTGACCTTGCCTGTTTTGGGGTCCACCTTCACCCACTTGGCTGGATCGTCTGCTAATTCATACCTTGAAACCACAAACAAACAAATAATCTTGATGACTCATAACGTTAAACTCTGCAAGCTCTGAAGCTCTTTAAGATTCTTGTGGCTAGACAGTCTGAGGCTAAAAACGATACTGCAGAGCCACACCCAGAGGTGAATTCAACTGCAAGCACTGCTGTACTGCTGGCTGGAGTCCAACTACTTTTTATACGTACCTGATTTTATCAACGTCTGAATCCACGTCTTTGACGATGGGTTCGTACAGCACCTCTCCCGGGTTCCCTTCCTCTTTCTTGTACACTGTCTGAATCTTCTGCTGAAACACTGGCGGGTCATTCACATCAATGACTTTGACTTCAACTGTAGTAGTGTTGGGTTTTCTCGCAGCGCGCATGGCAGGAGATGCTGGCTTTCCGTCGATGCATAAAAACAAAGGCTCCTCATTCTCCACTGATATTTCCAGCTGAGTGAGAGTTGTCCTCTCATAATCCTTCCCCTGTAAAGAATGGACATTGATTTCCACAAAAAACTAGTAAAATGCTATGAACTCTGAGCAACTTCATCAACCAAGACATCCTAATGCTATTAAAACTGTTCATTAAAATCTCTATTATCCTGTATGTATCTTATATGGAATAAGCCTGGGATTTTAAAAGGTTAAGATTTTTCATGTCAATACAATGCCATTAACTTCATAAACATCTTATGAATATTGACACACACTGTTCATAAATACCCAAGTATTACTTTTAAAATGGTTTATTTTGTACATGTGTTATGAAGCCCCTATTTAGGTAGCCTTCTAATAAAGTGTTACCGAACATTCAAGATTTCTATAAGAAGTAATATAATCTAATGTGAATTATGAATAAAGTGAATAAATAAACCTTGATGACTGTTAACACTCCTTCGTTTGTTTTCAGGTCTGTCTCAATCTTGTAGTTGCCCTCCTCATTGCCCTTCAGGATCTTGTACACGGCTTTAGATGCTGTAGTGTTGGGGGTATCCTTGTCTTCTACGGACAGCCTTAAAATCTCTTTGTTGGTTTCCATCTCCATAACCTGAGTATTGTACTACACCAAGAGATGTCAAAATAGTTGTTAAAAAATTCTAATATAGAAAATTCTTGTGTAGATAGATAGATAAAATGCATTGATTGATCCATGTATTTATATATATATATATATATATATATATACCGAAAAATATGTAAGGGGGTATAAAAAAATATCTTAGCTGTAAACAATTATAGGAGCAGTAGTAGTGCAAGAGCAAGTTCACTGAACTAGTTTCCAATACAGAGATGCAGTGCTTATACATTTTAGTGCAATTAATGATAGATCATAATATAAACATTTAATAATAGCAGATAATGATTTAATTTTTAGCAAATAATACACAGCTTGTAGTGATAACAAAATATTCATACCGTTAAACAGGCCAAGTTGGACCTGCAAAATGTGAATCTTTAGGATTTTTTGATGACTCATTATCCTTCATATTCTATTTTCAAGGATTAATTTTGAGGTTTTTTTTTTCATATGTATTTGTTTTCTTGTTTAATTGCCTTATGTTACAAACAAATGTGCACCTTAATAAAGCAGCTTAAAAGCTATCATGCTACCATTCATTAAAAAAAATGCTAACAATAAATGAAAAAGAAAAGCCATCAGGACGCACTACACACAGGACTTCATACTCTTTGGTGGCCACTGGTTCCATTAACTGTTAGCCATGTTAGCTATTCCTCTAATCAGAGTGAATACATGAGCAGTTTAAACAGACTCACCTTTGTGGCAGTGAACACAGGTAGATGTGTGTTGGAGTCAATGATGGCTATATTAACAGTGGCAGTAGAGGAGAGCGCTGGGTTTCCATGATCTTGGGCTTCAACAAGCAGTTTATAAGTCTTTGCTTTCTAAAGCAAATGAAACAAGTAGGTGTTAGCAAATTTGTGTATATGTGTATGGATACATTTATCTTTATGTCATTTTATTTACAAAATCTCAATATGTTATACAAAGCAATAGAATCCATAAATGCAGGTTATGTGTACTATACACATTGGAAGTCACATATCAACAACATCCAGAAACGCTGCCACTTTCTCTGGGCTCAACCTTGTCTAAGCTCAGTGCAAATGTGTTTTGTAGTTGATGAATCAATCTTTCCGATTGTTTATGGAAATGATGGCCGTCGTGATCTCTGAGCCAAGGAAAAAAACAGACCATCCAGATTGTTACCAGCTTAAAGTGCAAAATCCAGCATCTGTCATTGTGTGTGTGTGTGTGTGTGGGGTGGGGTGGGGGTGTATTAGTGGGTTACCTGCACATCTATGAAAGCACCATTAACACTGAGCACATTTTGGAGCAACATATCGCTGTTGACAGAACAAAACCTTGTATCTCCATAATGATAACTTTACAGGAGAAAGAAAAAAATACACTTTCCTTTTGACATAAGTCAATGGAACCAGACTTTTTTCCAAGTAATTTTAGGTAATTTTTTTGGTCCATTCATCATGGAATTTACATACAATGTAATACTGGATACTTTCAAATTATGCCAAAAACTTCAAAACAACACAAATAGAGATACAACGTTTTGCTCCAAAAGCACCGATAAACTACCTTTCAGACAGTGTCTTTTTCAGGGATGTCCATGATTATTTCAACATGACATCAAGAAACACTCAACAACATGTTACAACAACATGGCTGTGTAATCAGTGAGTGTGAGTGCGAGACTGGCCTGCTTTATTAAACTCAAAATACGACAATGAAGGCTCCATATAGTTACACTTGTATGACAGAAGAACAATACAGGTCAAAAAGAATTTACTACTCACCACTTTTTGTTTTTATCACAACTGGGATTGTAAAATGTAAAATCTGGTAGATGTTTGACACATTTTTATTTTATTTTGCTTTCTTAATTAGTTACATTCAGCAAATAAACAGTAATGGTGCATTAAAGTGTGTTCTCTGTAGATGACATGTTAATGTAATTTCTACTTAGAAAATGTAATTTGACCAGGAGAGCCCGAAATTCTGCATACAGAAAGAAAGCATAAATTTATTTCTCAGTTTTTGGCAGGCTAGCATGTGTTTTATTTGGATGTTTCTCAAGTAATAAAATACTGTCTTTATTACTGATATTAGCAAAATGATTTAGCATCCAGTGTTACATCAAGGCCTATAACTGTAGCTTTTGGTTGCAGCCTTATCTGGAGAGGACTCAAAAGTGACGCTCTGTTTTTGTGTATTATTCATGCGTTAATGATGACTCTCACTTCGTAATCAAAGCACCCAGTGAAGGCGAGCTGTGCGATGATGTTGTCGTCTGAAGCGCGTGCACTAAGAGGCTTGAGGGTGATAACTGGTGATGCCGGCTCCTGAGACACCACCCTCATGGTGATGCGAGAATTCTCATTGCCTTTCTCGTCTTTGTCTTTAGCCTGCAGTGAAACTGGGAGCACTCCTATTACAGCAGGAACAGAATGATATTACTTTGACTGAATGCAGATAAAAAGCAACATTTCAATGTAATATATTTTATTCATATAGAAAGTCAGAGACATCAGAGAGCATCTTTCATTTATTTGATTTCCAGTTTTTAGGTTCATTTTTCAGTGTCGGGGAAAAAACCAGAAAACATATTTAGAAGAAAATTAAACAGAAGTTTCTACAACTAAATCTAATCTCAGCTGTTTGAGTGTTCAGTGTGTCACTCTTTACCTTTATTATAGCTTCCATTCTTTTCAGGAGACACACTTTCAGTTTCTCAAAGAAATCTGCAGACACTCCTCCAAAGTTCAGTCTTAAAAGCTGGTTGATCATTTTCTGAAGTAATCAAACACATTCAGGGATGTTGAGGTCTGGGCTCTGGGGTGGTCATTCCATTGCTCTCTGAACACCAGCCTTCTTTGTTTGATTTGAAAAGATGAAAGCCTTAAGTGCTGTTTATATGATGGGGGCAGTTTTGGTGTCTACCACATCTTTCAGATGGTTGTTAAGAGTACCGTTTTTTTCTGTAGCTTTTTTTGAAACTCCTGTGTTTTCACTTCTTTTACTTTGACTTTCTCCTTCATTATGCAAGTGTATTCTCTTAAAGATATTTAATCTCTTTAGAAATATCTCCTGAAATATGCATATTTTTTACTTAATGGCCATTTTGACTGGAAATTAAATGAATGAAATTAAATGATGGTCTCTGAATCTCATTCAGTACTGTTCTATGTAAAGTGACCTTGGACATGAGAAAGGCACTATATAGAGGGAACAAACAAACAAGCAAAGAAAGATTTGTTTTGCAAAACATTACAAAATAACCTCAAAGTAGAATAAAGTTCTTCAGGCATGGCCTTTCTGTAAAGATTTTTTTTTTATTGTGTTAAAGCCAGTATGACACTTAAAATGTGTTTTACAGTTTTATGCAGCATCATGTGTTGAATTCTAGGAAAACATTTTTACATTACTTTATAAATGCATTCATAAGGCATTATATGACATACATAGTACCTTATATAAGCTTACATGTCATAAGCTTGCCTAATTGCTTATTATTAGCTACTGTATAATTAAATGCATAACAAATAAAGGTTTTTTGAGGTAGATTTTTTATTCATCAAGGTACAAACAATGTAAATGTTTCTCAAAAGTACAACAGTGATTTTAAGGTCCAACTGTGAACCTTAAATAAGTTTTTCCAGGTGAAAAGTATGTATTTGTACCTTTTCATAACCTAATGTTTTAAAACAGAACAATACAATAGAAAGCCTGGAGACGAGACGGGGTGTGTGGAGTCAATACAACAAAAAATATGATTTAAATGGGTTATGGTACAATAATGTTCCCTGATTAAAGGTACTGAGATATACCCTTGAGGGTGCCACCCCAGTGACAAGAGGGGTACCGCCCTAGTGACAGTTTACTACCTTTATTTCTGTGTGTAGAACTACTGTCTTTGCTAAAGAACCCTTGAAGAAACCATCTTTTTTTAAAGTGTATAATGATGTTGTGGTATATTCTGGTACAGTTTGTCTCAAAGTGTTAAACACAGAATGTGACATGTTGCTTGTGCAGTTTCTTTTTTAACAATGAACTATGTGCTACTGAATATTTTAGGTACTGAAATAAAATGTCCTTAACATTTAAAAGATGTTTGAAACACGCTCACTTCACTTAAAGTCTGTAATAAAGCATAAAGCTCTGTAAAGTGTTGTGTTGCATTACAACATTAGTGTCCTTCTTGTTCTTATGAACAAATATTATAATGCATTATAGAACCTGACTTTATAGAGTAATTTGTTCTTGCTTTATAACGTATTATGCATGTAACGACAGCTTCTTAAAAGCAACTACACAAGCTTTCAACAGTCATTATGCAATACTGTATGCCATATAATGCTTTATGAAAGCGTTTTTGAATGAAAATGGGATTCACAGGAAGCATTGCTTTCACAGAATTCACAGAAAGTGCTTACATATAATTGTATATGATTGATGATGTTAGTGTCATTAACTACACAGAATAAAGTGATGAATCACACTGAATTAATTCATTTAGTTGACAGCCCCGCTAATCACATTTAAATTTCATAGAAAGACAACATAAATAGCTACCTACCTCTATGAGTAATGATGATTGTGTAAGGTCTAAAGACTTGTTTCACTTTTAAACTGAAGCAAATTAAGTGTTTTCTTCACTTCACAGCAATTGTCCATATTCAGAGCTTTTTCTTGGGGTTAAATTAAGGGGCTGTTATTTACATTTATGAGCCAAAAGCTTTGGATTATTTGTTAACAGAAAACTAATCAATATTTAATTATTAATAATATTTTGTTAATAGCTATGAATAGTGTGTACGCAGTTGTCTGTATCCTGTTGAAAGTCATTAAGCAGTTATTTATTATCTTGCAATTTTATGATGCACACACTTTTAGTTCATTCTTAGCTAATCATCATTCAATGGTTAATATGCTGCATTCCAGTTATAAAGCTGCCCCTGAACTTACTTACTTACATGGCCATAACCAGCTATGAGGACACTGAGGTCCGAACCTCAGTCGTTTCAGAAGGATTTTTTTTCACTTCTCTCCATTCATGAAATTAACCATAAAAACAGCGCCGTTATGATAATACAATAGTCTACTCAGGGCCACCGTGTCACGGATCTACCAGAGTGAGGACAGAATATTTACTATGCATCATTTTTATGATAATGAAAATGGATTTTTGTTCTGTGAGCACTGTCACTGTATTATGACCAATTAAAATCTGTCAATTTCCGCCTTATTTTCTCCAACTCTCCAATCACTGCTAAGCAACCGCGGCTATCCACTATTGCTTCAGTATGTTAGCATCATGTTCGTGACAGGCGTTGGGACACAACAGTGTTTTTGTCAGATTTATGAGGAAAAACAGCAAACCACGTACTGCTGTGCAACAAGAGTTACACTGAATATGCCATATGGCATACTGATAATAAGATGATTTAATAAGAAAACTTTCAAAATAAGATTTACTACAATGATAAGACATGAATGTCGCAGAAAAAACAAAAAGGCTTCTGCTGAAACTCATGAAAGCCATGCTGAAGACGCTTAGAGCCGGTTATCAAAAACTGTAATATTGATTAAAATAGAACTCATTAAGGATTCTAGGAGGTTGTGACAACATACAGTCAATGTGGTACAGATTAATTTGTTGACGGCTGTGTCGTCAACATTGTCACAACCTCCTCGAAAGTTGTCAGACAACGTGAGGAATTACATTTCAAAGTTGTGATAATGTAGAAAAGCACCAAGCAGACAATGTTGTGGGCACCAAAACAGTACGTCGTCACAACTGTGTTTTCAGGGCCGTTAGGAATAAAACCTGATAGTTTTGCTTCCTAACGGGAATTGGCTTGATGGTGGTTGCCATTAGAGGCCATTAGGAAACGAACAAATGTATCTGGAAACATCTGATGAAATGATCAGAATCCTTTACACATTGATATCAACCCATCAGGAAAACACAGAATACAGTGACTACTGAAAACCAACAGGAACCAACAGACAATTTTAATGGGTTCTATGACTTTTTTCAACAGGGAAGTACATTAAATGTAATTCTCTAGCTGTGTTATGGATGAAAAATGGATTAGGTGATGATGTCGCTAAACAGAAGCAGCCAAAAGTTACCATGCCATTGGGCCACTTCTGCCATTGTGGCAGAGAGTGCATGCGCACGTGACATCACTGGGGCTGAGAGTGCATCTGGCTGAGAGTGCATGTCTGCAGCCAGACTGTATTGGGGGAAGATTGTAGCTAGCTAAGAGTTTATGTGCGCAAATAACCAATTAAGATTGTAAAATGCAAACCCTATTTTTCATTTTTTGTTTGGACTGCTCGTAATGTTGCTGGCTAAATTATCATGCTTTAGTCTAGCTCCAGTAGCTGCTCAGTTTAGCCTACTGTTTGCTATATTAGTGATTAAATTAGATGTTAAAGTTGCCTACTCATAACATTCTGCAACCAGCATGACAAAGTTTACTGTGAACTAGCATGTTGATAGAATAGCATCATGTTATTAAGGAATCATCAGGTACGTTAGGCTGTATTTTGTTTCAGCTGCCTTTCCCATTAGCTGGGTTTGGTACAGACAGCCCTTTATCACATATATGTTTAATGTGTGTTTTTTCAGTAATCAGTGAGGACAGAGATACAAAAGGAACAAGCAGAGAAAGAGAGAGAGAAAAATAAATGAAATAAAATCAGTTTGAAACTACTTGGTTTAGTGTATGTTTCAACATGTTTTTAGCTAAAAATAAACATAAACAAATAGTTAAATGATTAAATAATCAGGGCAACTGGAGTCAAATCATTTTATGGAAGAGTAATAGCGGTTTATGAAAGAATGGAGGGATGGGAAGGGAACAAATGAAAGAAAAAGGTGCATAACAGTTATGGATGGGCAAAAAAGGAGCAATGATTTGGTTAAGAAAAACTCTAAAGGAGAAACTTACGATTGGTGTAATACTGATATTTGGCATTTAGTTTATTCACTATGAGATGTAGGTCACATTTCTTTCAAATTATTTGTGTCAATGATCAATTTACTAGAATTATATAATGATGTTTACCTTCATACTTCATTTCCTGTTCCTAGGAAATATGAGTATTTGAGTATTTTTTTCTTTGGTTGAGTGTTTGATTGCCCGTGACTCAGAAGGATAAGTGGTTTAGAAAATATGTGTTTGTGTGTGAGTGTTTGATTGATTGTCTTCTTGTCTTTGATGCACTTACAAGAGATTCTCACAATAATTTGCAAACTTTGTGTGAATGTTCCCTTGTTAATGGTGTTTGTGAGGCAGTACTTTGGTTCTGACCTTCTTGGATGTTTTCTGGAATTGTTGTATGTAGAACCTCAGGTAAGAACTGAGGCGCATTGTCATTTATGTCCTTTACGGCTACGCTGAACGACAAAGATTTGTCAAGAATTTCATTGGTTTCTCGATCCGTCACATCAAACTTCACCTGATTAATTACAATGAGACACAAGGAGATTAGAATATATTAAAAAAAAATCAGAAGCTGAAGGGACGATATATCTAAAACATCATCTCTGTCATAAAAAAGCTTGAATACCTGAAAATGTAAAGATCATTTTCACTGATCCATTCATCGTGTTCTAACAACGCAAACAGCAGTTGGAGTTTTCAAATGTACATCGTCACAATGAAATTACTGGATAAATACAGTTTGTGAACCCTTTAGATTGTTTCTATATATTTCTAAATATGATGTAAAACATAGATTTTCACAAAGCCCTAATAGTAGATAATAAGAACCAAATTAAACAACGGAAATGATCACAGATCTGTGAGTGGCAAAAGTATACAGACTTTGCTTTTAGTGGCCTGATCCCCTTGTACAGCATGAATTGCAACTAATTGTTTTCAGCAAATATTAGTTCTACACATCAACTTTTTTATTTTAGCCCATTCCTCCATACAGAACAGCTCTAATTCTGGGCTGTTGGTGGGTTTCCTCTCATGAACTGCTTGCTTCAGGTCCTTCCATAACATTTCTATAGGAATAAGGTCAGGGCTTTGACTTGGCCATTCCAAAACATTAAAATTAATGTTCTTCTTCAACCATTCTTTGGTAGAAAGACTTGTGTGCTTATATATATATATATATATATATATATATATATATATATAGTATATATATATATATATATATATAGAATGGCCAATATATATATATTGGCCATTTTTCCAATAGCCAATGTTCCAATGTTTTTTTATGACAGATTATATGGAGATAAGAATAAGATATGAATGAGAAGAATGTGAACCTTCTCTAATGGCTGAGTTATATTTAAACACTGACATAATTACCCTTAAAGTTACAGTTCCCTTGAAAATGTGAACAATGCTAATAATGAAGGATGGATATCCAGAAGCTAGCATTATGCGAATGAATCATGCTAACTGCTCGCTATTTGTTTTCATTTCTTTTTTTTTTTTTAGTTAATAAGGACAAGCAGTGACTCACCATGAAAACAGGGTACATTTCTCGGTCTATAGGTTTGTGTATGCTGACCACACCAGAGAAGGGATCAATGGTGAACACACCCTTTGGGTCTTCAGTCACACCCTGACCGCTGATACTGAACCGGAGTTTGTGCATGTTGCTCTTATCGTTGAACAACTGGTTCCGGCAGAGAGAGAACAAAGGTTATTATTTTTATTATTTTTATTATTATTATTATTATTATTATTATTATTATTGAAAGAAAAGCAACATCTTTATTGACATTATTGGTCTATCTATGTAGCTTACATGCATTGTCTTGTCTTTGTAAATTTGTGAACGTTCTATAAAGTGCCTGTGCTTGTATTGAGCTTAATTGAGTTTAGTCAGTCACTCAGTTTAATCAATCCTTGATTAAGTTAAATCAGGCTAATTGATCTGCATTGAAGAATAGAGGAAATGAACCTGTCAGTACATCAAACAAAAACTGAATAAACTGGATTCTCCTTATGTTTTAGTGTATTTTGGTTAATTTGTTTTTATTCTAATAGTATGTAGTGTTTTTTTTCTGTTTGTTTATTTATGTATTTTCAGACTTGTTCAGACTTATTTCCCAGATAAACAGTATTAACTTTTTTTTTTGTACAGTCCAAACTTCTAATTCTAGCTTCTTCTGCAGGTGCAGTGAGACGTCCCTGTGGAATGAGGACTCAGCTCGTAATCCCTCCTCTGTGACTGTGTGAGTTACCTGTGTGGACACTTTGGGGAAAGGTCCAGGATCCTCCTCCTGCAGCTCGATTGTAGAGAGAACCCACCTCCTCTTAGTGCGAATCAGCACGCGCTCCTTACAGAGGAGATGAAAATGAAATGATAATGTTGATGAAGTTCAGCTGAGGTGGAGAAATTGTACTACAGTGGAAGCACAGGTACTATATTAAAATCTTCATTAAAAATGAAATTATGGAACCAAGATATACCTGAGTGAAAGTTTAAATGTATGAACATGTAAAAATGCTCAGGGACACTGCTGTTCACACACTGTTGAACTTTTGGAATCAAAGTTCAACAGTGTGCAACTAATTCAACTGTATAAAATCAATTCATATAAAAGTATAAAATGGAATTGATATGAAAGTGCTATACAACTTCATAGCTTTCATAACTTATACAGTTGTGAAAATGAAGATTAAGAAAGCTGTGCAACATCAGGAAGTTCTGATCAATTTCCATCTATTCAAAATGAAGCTTCATATTCAAATGGATACTTCATATTTCAAAAAATATGTACAACATTTTTCAAAATATACAGTAGATAATTTACAGAATATAATAACTCACAATTGTTGAAAAATTTAACAAAACATCTAAAAATACATTTTGGTGTTACATTGCATAAGCTATTACTACACATAAAATAACAAACTTTATCATTCTTACAAGCGATTGCAAACTTTTGAATTGTAGTTTAAATAGGAGTAAAAGGTTTGACATAAATTTAAGAGGTTTTTACATTAAAATATGTAGGACAGGAGCTGATCACACTCTACATAACCCAGACTAGAGTTTTTCAACAAACTCTTTGTGTCACAGGGTAACAAATAATTTTATAAATGTAAAATTTGAAATGTGCGTGAACTTGACTGTCGAGTGGGAGGCGTCTACAGAACCTTGAGGTTTATAACTGAAATCCTAGAAGGTCTAAATTGAAATGTAAAGACTGAAATATTTTTCACCAAGAAATGTGATTAAGTTAAAGAATAAGTATTCATTTTCAATAAAACTGAAGTGAGGAGTAAATCATTGAATAAAAAATTTTGTTCATTGAAGGCAGTAATGATTTCTTCGCCTTTTTGAGGTTTTCCTGATTTACCATGGCATTCCAAAGCTCTAAATACATACATGCTCCTCCGTGAGGTTCCTGTCCAGGCTCCTCAGGTCACTGTGTGCGGTCTCTGTCCAGAGCTAAGGAAAAATAATATAAGAAAAAAAGCAGAACAAAAATTTTGTTTTTTCTAACTCTAAACAAGATTTTACTTTCTCAAAAAAAGTCAAGTGACTTTTTTCTGGAATATTAAGAGTATTTTTTCAACACACTTCTGAATATTTTAATACACAGTTACTGTTTATTTGCTGAATTTAACATATTGGGAAAAGTAAAACAGTATAAAATGTGGCATAACTTTTCAACAGGCCACAGTTTATGTTTTAATTTCCTCCCAATGAGTTATATACAGCACTGTGCAACAGTCTCTGGCACCTAAGCATGTTATTTAAAACTATTTGTATGGGTAGGAAGTGTGTTTTTTCGGTAAAATCCTCATATATCATCAGAAAAAATACAAATAAACATAAATGCTGTAAAATGTAGCAAGAATTTTGGTTCCAAAATGAAGCACTGACTAAATAATGCAGGTACTAAATGATAACTACAAATCACACTGGAGTTGTAAGAGGCTTGGATGTTTGTAAACGGTTAAACAAAAACATTAACATACATGGAATGATTACTTAATGCATTAATGCTGTTTGAATTTGTTATAAAATAATTGTTTTTCTGATAAACAGATTTGCATTTGATTTCCTCATATGCACTTCCTCTACAAACTTCTGCACATTTTAATGCACTTTTTTTTTTTCTGAATTTTACATACTGGGGGGAGAAAAAATTAAAATGGGGCCTGTGCAAAAGTAATGGCACATTTAATATGCGTTTTAATTTTTTCCAGTATGTTAAACAGCAAATAAATAGAAACTGTGCAGTAATATCTGCAGGAAAAATGTCATATTTGTGTTTTCTCTGTAGAGGATGTGTTATGTATATGTATGCAAAGAGAATAAGAACAATTAACTCTTATTATTTGCTATAATAATAATAATACTTTTCAGATTTCAGCACCTTTCTAATATGCGCGTATGCCAGTTTGTGGCATAAGAAAGAAACAAATGAACAGAGAACAGAGAAGCGGGTCATTTTTTAAATTACTGGTAATTTTTACTAACATAGCATTGTTTGTTTTTTCATTCTTTTTGGGTCTCTGAGATGGTCAGTTTAGTTTCCACATGTCTCTATAAAGACACTGAACTAATGCAGCGTAAACGGATCATCACATTCTCTCATTTCCGCTCATCATCTCTCAGATCAGGATTCTCACTGTCACGCTTTTATGTTGGGTAAGTTTGTTTATGAAGTCTTGCAGGTTTTTTGCCCTGATATGATCTCTCTCTCTCTCTCTCTCTCTCTCTCTCTCTCTCTCTCTCTGTATCTCCCCCCATGTTTAAAGTCTGTTACAGACACTGATGCTGATTTATAATAAAAATACTGTGACCGTATCTCAGTAGTGGTTTGTTGCATGTTTAGATTGTATTATTATGATGATTTATTTGACAATGACATAAAATACATATAAAACTGCATTCATACAGAACTTACAAGCAGTTAAAAAATTATCGAGAATAAAAAGCCCACAGGCTTATTTCCACTGTGGTTCTCATAAAAGATATCAAGATGATTTCATTTACTCTTCTCGACTGGAAGAAGGTTGAGGTTAAGTTGTTTAAAATGATTTGAAGATATTTTCAATACAACTTTAATCAACTTGTTTTGCATCGTCTGCAATGTATTCTTAATAAATTGAGAAGAACTACTATTCCACAAATTGGCTAAATGCTATAATTTGTCACATTCAAATGTTTCGGATCAGACCTCTGGCCCACTCTTCTTTGCAGAATTACTTCAATTCAGCTACAACGGAGAGTTTTTGAGCATGAACTGGCCAGTTAAGTTCTTGAGATGGAGTTCAAGTCAAGACTTTAACTCGGCCACTCCAAAATCTTAATTTTGTTCCTTTTGAGCCAATCTGACGTGGACTGGCTTTGAGGTCATGAACTGGTGTGTGGACATTTGCCTTCAGGATTTTCTGATAGAGAGCGGAATTCATGGTTCCATCAGTTATGACAAGTCATCCAGGTCCCGCAGATGCAAAGCAGCCCCAGACCATCACACTACCGCCACCATGCTTCACTATTGGTGTGACATTTTTATTGTGGAATGTAGTGTTAGCTTTACACCAGATGTAACGGGACCTCTGTTTTCCAAAAAGTTCCTCCTTTGACTCATCGGCCTACAGAATATTATCCCAGTGTAGATGTTTTTGGCAAATGTGAGACGAGCCTTTGTGTTCTGTTTGATCAGCGGTAATTTGCGCCTTGCAGCTCTTTCTTATTGTGGAATCATATACATTGACCTTGACTGAGGCAAGTGAGGCCTGCAGTTCTTTAGATGTTCATCTGGGTTTATTTGTGACCTCCTGGATGAGTTGTTGATGCATTCTTTTACCTCTGTTCCAAGTTTTCTCTATTTGTGGATAATGGCTCTCACTGTGGTTCATTGGAGTCCCAGAGCACCAGCAATGGCTTACTAACTATGGCTTACTATGGCTTAATAACCCTTACCAGACTGGTACATTTCAGTGACTTTGTTTTGCATCTGTGTTTGAATCACTGTAGGACGTGGCATCACATTCTGCGTTTTGAGACATTCTAGCTGCTTCACATTGCCAGATACGCAATGATACAGATCATATGGATGGATTTAGGCCATTTCTACTAAACGAGTTATATAAACTTGTGTTTGACTAACATTTTTATAAGCTGGTTTGGTATGGATGGCTTTCGTCATGTACTTTTCATTGTTAAGATCACCTGACCTGCTTTATAGACCTTTGTATGTGTTACAGGCTCCAGCAATTTATAATTATCACTATTCCTATATTAACACAAGCATTTACTAACATAATTATTTAAAACTATAATTAATTCATATTTAACTCAAAAACTAAGAGATCAAAAGAGATCTTATTATTATATCAAGTAAACATGTTTATACCATTTTTCCAAGCCACCTCACTGATGATATGTTTATATTTACTAAGGTGTTATTAATTGCTTGCTCATAGTTAAAGTCAAAGTCAGCTTTATTGTCACTCCTCCTCACCACAAATGCATTTAGAGAGGAACAAAATGTAGTTTTGAAATGTACTTATTTGTGTTTTGTATTAATTCAATGGAGAGGTCCATACAAACCAGGTATCATAACAGACTTAGCATTACCGAGCATCAGTAATATGTTATAGCCACATTACGAATAAATACAAAAGCACCACTAAGCAAACTTTAGCAGTGATGACAAAGCGCTCGCCACAATGTACTACACCGCAAAGCTTCTGCTTTAAAACCTGTTCAGCATATAACACATTATATGAAAACCTGAGCTTCATTGTCTATGTGCAAGTGATTGTCTGTCAAAGTGTGACTACAATTTATTAATCAAATACGCTGATGATATCTTAGTAATTGGTTTCATCACTTCAGAGGATGAAAACATGTACAGAGAGAAGGTTTGGCTGAATGGTGCACTACAACAATCTTGTTATGAACGTTAATAAAAAAAGAGATAAAAGTAGATTTTTAGGATTTAAGATTTCATCTGATCATTCATACTCACCGAATATCAAAGCAGAAAGCTCAAAAGTGTCTATGTTTTTTAAGGGTTTTAAAGAAGGTGGGCAGAATATTTTAAGGATTTTCTATATGTAAAAAAATAGAACAAATTGGGTCCTTTTAATTTCAAAACTCAAATATGTAAATAAATGGTGCTGTTTTTTAAGTACCCAGTTTTACTTGTATTAGACACAGATGCATGAGAAGTGTTCATTTCAAAGAGAATTCTGTTCCAGCGAAAGCCAAATAAATGAGACTGAAGTGTTTCAATTTTGTTTCATCAACAATTGAACTCCATATTGAGTGTAAAAAGTCAGTCTGTACTGACTTATAATGGAAATGTGCAGCATAATTGAAATAAATTAATATAGCAGTTTTATTTCTTTGTGTGTAGGTGAGTATAGAGAGTATTTTAATGTGTTCTATACAGTCTGGTTTGAGAGTCTGACTTGTTTTGAACAGAAATCTGATGAGATTGCAGGATTATTGGAGCTGATAGAGTTCATTGACAAGCAATAAACACTGTGGGGGATCAGAATCTTCTTTTACGTTCAAGAAGACGGTGTATGGCTACTAAGTTTTTCCTACACCCTTAAAAGAGATCTTTATTAAGGGTTCTTTAGAGAAGACAGTGGTTCTATAAAGAACCATGCACTCTCAAAGAACCATCTGCTTAAATTGTTCTTGGCATGTTGAAATGGTTCTTCAGATTGATGGAGAATGTGTTGGATATGGTTCTATAGTTCTGCTATTGTTACAAGTTTGACATCATAACAATAGAAGAACCCTTTTTCGGTGCCATATAGAACCATATATAACACAATCCCCATCATCTTGAGAAGACCAATTTAAGCATGCATATGTGTTCATGGTTCTATATACGAACATTGCCTTTACTAAAGAATCCTTGAAGAACCATCTTTTTAAAGTGTGTACTTTACAGAGACTGGGTCCTTCAATATGATTTTCTGGGTGTTAAGAGGGAAAATAAAATAAAGTTTATCTTTCAAATGTGCAGCAAAGAAATGCAAAAAGGGTGAGGGAAGCAAAATGTTTGTCACTACATTTTCATTTCTCCATGCAAGAAAACATTTAATCATGTTCTTTGAATGCACGTGGTTCTATATAGAGAACCACTGACCTTACTCAAATGCCTCGGAAGAACCATCTTTCACAGTGCTGTGTGAATTTTAAATTGATGTATGGATGGTTAGTGGCTGTATGAGGGTGTATGTGTGTAGGTTCTTTCTTTTTATTATGTTTTTCAATGAACTCCACTCTTAAATTCCAGTGTATGTATTTTTATATCTAGAAATAACAATAAAGCATAGCTGAACTGAACACATTAGATAGAATAGAGGAAAAAAAAAAAACAGAAGCTCCAGAGAGACTCAGACAGAAATATGTTCTACTTACAGACAGCAGAAGAAGGAGACGGAAGGTCATCCTCATCCTGAAGAGTTAAAGTTAAAATGATCATATATTTTAGCTTCCAAACACAACAGTAAGTTGCTCGACAGAAGGTACAACAGCTGCCACACAGTAACTGTTCTCTCTCTCTCTCTCTCTCTCTCTCTCTCTCTCTCTCTCTCTGTTCTGCAAATACCACTCTCACATGAACGGAAAGAGCTTATTGTGCAGAAGGCAGGAAACACCCTGACAGGTTGCCAGTCCATTGCACTGCAGACACACAGACATTCAGACAAACACTCACACACATCTTGTCTCCAATAGTCCTGACTGCACACCTTTGGACCGTGGTAGGGAACCCACACAGACAACATGCAACAGAGAACATGCAAACTCCACACAGAATGGACCCTGGTCACCCAGCTGGGGAACTGAACACAGGCCCTTCTTGTTTTGATGTGTCAGTGCTACCCACTGTGACACCTGTTAAACCCTTTACTTAAATAAAAGTGAAACCCATAAAAAAGGAAGATGCTAGAATATATAAAACACAAGTAACAATATAAAATTTTACAATGTAAATTAAAAAAGATTAACTGGATGTCAAGAAGGATGATCCATTTAAATAATAAACAAAGTACAAATAGAAAAAATGTAGCACCCTGCCCCCACCCCCTCCCCTATGGCACTCATCAATTCAACATTGGTCAAGAAAAAGAGTGAAAAAAATCAAAATTTTGTCAAAATTTAGGGTTGTGGTGCTCCAGCATTTAACATAACCCTGTGCTTCAGAAGGGTTGTGTTAAATACTGCTCGCTGTTTCTGGGACAGCTCTCTGTTTTCACACATGCGCAGACTGAGAGAAAGGGTTTACATGCACTGAAAAACCCCATTACTCAGCTCAAATCCAGCCTCGTTATCAGATTTCCTAATCAGATTTATAGGCCTTAATCTGATCAAAGAAATCAGAGTGTGCTGTTTACACGACCACTTAATCAGATAACTGCAGAAATCAGATTATGATCAGATTATTAAGTGTTTGTAAATGCATGTAATAATTCAACAGTCCTTTTAGAGGCACTTTGCAACGTATTAAAAGTCTCCCAACTTTCCCCGTGGACCCTTGCTATTGAAAGTTCCATATTATCAATAACCAAAAAGATGAGGATCTGTTGCTGCCAGCACAGATAGTGCGGAGGTTGCCTGTGTAAAGCTAACATTTTGTTCCGGCTCTAGGACCAGAGATCCAGATCTGCTTTTCAGCACAAGGATGAGCCCTCAATTGAAACCTTGGATGATGGCTTTTTAAATGCAAGACTTGCTGCATCTTGTAGTTTAGAAAAAATAAGGATGTGCTGATAACACTTCAGTAAAGAGAGACATTATAACACCTTTATAATAGTGTAATAAAGGTGTATGAAGGTGTAAAGTGCGCTGTGCATGTACAGACCACAGACCACACTGAAAACAGTCTGAAAAGACGCTGTCTGAACAGTCTGCCAGTTATCAGCCATGAACTGCAGCAGGAAAATCTGAAATCGTAACCCCAACAGTAACCCCAACTGCCATTAACACAGTGAACACTGGATGGCGTTATTCCACTCCAACTCTGTAGCTTTGTCCTGGAACCTGTTTTTCATAATTGACAGACAGACAGAGAGAGAGAGAGAGAGAGAGAGAGAGAGAGAGAGAGAGAGAGAGAAAGAGAGAGCAAAAGACAGAGCAAGAGAAAGACAGGGGTAGAAAGGGACAGCGAGAGAGACAAAGAGAGAGGGGAGGAGGAGGCGAGCCGGACAAAGTGAAATAGGCAGAGCAACGAGTAAGAACAGAAATAAAAAAAGGTGAGATGAAAAAGGGAGAAGGAAAAAGAAGAGAGAGGAGCGGGAGCGAAGAAGGAAAGAAAACAAGGAAAAACCAACAGAAATGTTCCTTAATTACTTGGAATAAAATCTCTTTATGTTAACTTGTTTTATTTAAAGTGTTTTTTCTTTGTTTATTTTTTATCAGGCATAACATTATGACCACCTCCTTATTTCTGTGCTCATTGTCCATTTTATCAGCTCCACTTACTATATAGGTGCACTTTGTAGCTCTACAATTACAGATTGTAGTGTGTAGACTGTTTCTCTGCATATTTTGTTAGCCCCCTTTTACCCTGTTCTTCAGTGGTCAGGACCCCCATGGACCCTCACAGAGTAGGTACTATTTGGTTGGTGGATCATTCTCAGCACTGCAGTAACACTGACGTGGTGGTGGTGTGTTAGTGTGTGTTGTGCTGGTATGAGTGGATCAGACACAGCAGTGCTGCTGGAGTTTTTAAACACTGTGTCCACTCACTGTCCACTCTATTAGACCTTGTAGTTGTAAAGTCAGAGACGATCATCTGCTGCTTCACAGTTTGTGTTGGTCATCCTCTAGTCCCTCATCAGTGGTCACAGGACACTGCCCACAGGATGCTGCTGGCTGGATATTTTTGGTTGGTGGTCTATTCTCAGTCCAGCAGTGACACTGAGGTGTTTAAAAACTCCAGCAGCACTGCTGTGTCTGATCCACTCAGACCAGCGCAACACACACTAACACACCACCACCACATTAGTGTTACTGCAGTGCTGAGAATGATCCATCACCCAAATAGTACCTGCTTTGTAAGGGGTCCATGGGGGTCCTGACCACTGAAGAACAGGGTAAAAGGGGGCTAAAAAAGTATGCAGAGAAACAGAGGGACTACAGTCTGTAATTGCAGAGCTACAAAGTGCATCTATATAGTAAGTGGAGCTGATAAAATGGACAATAAGCATTGAAACAAGGACATAACATGTTATGCCTGGTGTATAAAATAGTAGTATGTTGCATATATTACGCAGGTATTACACAGGCTATGTTACTATATTAAAATATGTATCACATACTATAATAAAAATACATAATGTTTTTGCTGGAACACATTTACAGTATTTACAGTATTTTGGTTTGATGTTGCAGAGAAAACGTTTTGGTTTCTTTAATCTTGGTTTTCCCTCCAGATTATGTAATAAACCTGGCTTTAGTCAGTTTTACCCCCTAAAACTGACCACTTGGTACAGGCCAGCACTCTTTAACTGACATTCAGTGGACAGGGAGAGAGAGAGAGAGAGAGAGAGAGAGAGAGAGAGAGAGAGAGAGAGAGAGAGTAGAGATAGATAGATAGATAGATAGAGAGAGAGAGAGAGAGAGAGAGAGAGAGAGAGAGAGAGAGAGGGAGAGAGAGATCAACAGCTAAGGACAGAGGATGTTTTGTATGCACTGATATGCAAAAAGATTGAAAAGAGAGAAAGAATGAGGTAAAGAGAAGATCTGCTTTGGTCACTTTTAAACCTACAAACCTCAGGACTGTGGAGATTAACTGGAGGTGAAAGATGACCAGAGCCTCTGCAGAACCGAGGAAGGAGCTCCACTCGTAAACACATCATCATCAGCTCTTCCCACAAGGCAACATCTCAACATCAGGAGCAACAAACTACAACAAACATCTCTCATGTGAGTATTTTAGCCCTTTTTTCCGGTTTCCTCTTGATTTAAGCTCCCTCAGTCCAGCTCTTCCTTTTTCTGTCTTTATTAATGTTGATAAAACATATCTTGATGTGTATGATTTATTAAACTGGAATTGAGCTGGATGTTCATTTTCATAGGTCAGCGAGCAGGTCAACATTTATAAATGTGTTTTTGTGTTCAAGTACAGTCTTAAAGCTGATTCTTCAAGGGTTCTTGAGAAAAGCCAGTGGTTCTATATAGAACCAGGAACACTCAAATAACCATTTGCATGCCTGGTTTTGCATAGTGAAAAGGTTCTTCAGACTGGAGAATGTGTTGTATGTGGTTCTATATAGCACCAAAAATAGTTTTGCTCTTGTTATGATGTTAACCTTGCAGCAATATTAGAACCCTTTTTTTGGTGCCATATAGAACCATTTTCAAAGCATTTCCAGAAGAGCAGAGCTCAAGTTCTTGATGTTATACTGTTCAGGTTGGTAGCTGATGGAGATGAGATGACTGTGTTTGTTTACACAGAGCTGTAAAGAACAATATGAGATAAGAATGGAGAGGAGAACGTTACATCATCAGACTAATCACCTGTGTACTTCAGCAGAGGGGGGGGGGCAGAGCAGCAAGGGCAGAGAGAGAGAGGGAGAGAGCAGAGAGGGCAGAGAGGGGGAGAGAGGGAGAGAGAGATGGAGACAGAGAGACCAACAGAGAGGGCAGAGAGAGAGAGTGAGAAGGAGAGAGGGAAAGAGAAATGGAGAGAGCAGATAGGGCAGAGAGAGAAATGGAGAGAGAGAGAGAGAGAGAGAGAGAGAGAGAGAGAGAGAGAGAGAGAGAGAGAGAGGGAAAGAGAGAAAGAGAATGAGATCATCTTCACAACATACACTGGACTCAACAGTAGAACCCCCGTCCACATTGCCTTTGTCCCTCATTAGGTCAATCATGATTGTGTTCGACTGGTCTTTCTGATGAATGTTATTCACTTATTCAGTTAAAAATGAAAAACAGAATAGCTTTATAGCTGCACTCAACCATTTATACACATAGGAGCACTTAGCAGTTTGTACATGTACCTAGCTGACATTAGCTGAGCCACTGAAAAAGTCTCTCGAAAATTTGCAATTTTTTAGACAGATAGAGCATAGTGGTCCTAAAATCTACTCTTTGATTTGCTGAAAATATTGAAGCTCCACCTCTATCATTATTCAATTAAATGTTAAATGAGGACTCTTGGTAGTCTATGCTAATGTCAATAATGATGGTCTCAAATCAGCATTAGTTAAATAAATCAATGAAGATAATGACCCTGATTTAACATTAGTAAATCTATCCAGGATCAACATGAACGTAATGGTCCTGAATCAACTTAAGTAAAATCCATCCAGGATCAAAATGAAGATGATGGTCCTTATTCAGCATTAGTTGATCTATCCAGAATCAACATAAAGATGGTGGTCTTGAATCAAAATGAATAAATATATTTTGGATCCATATGAAGATTATAGTCTTAATCAAAATTAGCTAATCTATCCAGGATCAACATGAAGATGATGGTTCTGATTCAACATTAGTAAATCTATCCAGGATCAACATAACGATTATGGTCCTGATTCAACATAAGTAAATCTATCCAGGATC